CTGAAGATGCAAAAGTTTAATGCCATGCTGTGAAACATTCCAGATAAAGCCTTAACATCTCCACTGAGAAAAGTATTTGATGGATCCTCAACCAGAAAATTATACAATGCACTTTTAAGGTAGAGCTGTTCAAGCCAGCTTCATGTTGTCCTTACAGAGTGACAGTAGATAGTGGATCTAACTATCAGCGTAGTTTTATATTGTTCCTCCAACACAAAGGTCATCAGGCGTTTATCGTGTTTTCTGCCTCACCTCACCAAGGGCCCCTGGGCTTTGTGGAGCAATGGTCAGACTTCAGTTTCATCTTTGTTCACTGCGCCCTAACCTAAAGGACCTGCACCCAGATACACTGTAATTATCATCCGAGATAGGACTAATGAATTTCCCTCTTGTTAGAGACCCATAGACTGTATAAAGAAGTGGACTAGTGAGTGTGACGTCACCCATAGTGTTCGGCTCAAATGAAGTCAAATGAAGGTCACCAAGGCTAGCAGTTATAGAAGCAAATTTAGAGTTCCATATTAGGAATAGGAATTTATTTATGGGTCAAAATAGTGAAATAAAAGCAACAGGATCATGTAGAGTTCAGTGCAGCAGTTATAGAGAGAGGGACAACAGTTTTTCAGTGTAAAGTGAATTGGACGCAGAGTTGATGGAGCCAGATGGTCACTTCCTATTTGGAATACAACAGCTAGCAGATTAGCTATGTCCATTTAAACATACAGTCTAAGGTAGACATGTCAAACTCAGGCCCAGGGCCAAATTTGTCCCACGATATAATTGTATTTGGCCCGTAAGTTCATATGTATTAGAACTGGCCCACCCAGTACAAATAGGCTATAGAGACATTATTTATTTACAATTTTGTTATTATTTTGTTATTATTTTATATTATGCTTGTTCTGGATTCAGTGTTTAAGCAGAACTACTATTTAACATTTATTTTAGTAAGAAAAGGTTTAACATAACATACCTCAAAAGAAGAAAAAACATGCAAAAGTTGTTGAAATTTTTAAATAAATATTTAGTTTGGCCCACGACAAATTTTGGTCCTCTGGGAATATGAGTTTGACACCCCTGGTCTAGGGCCTACACCCAAATACAGTGTAATTATCATCCAAGATAGGTCTAGTGCATAAGTTTTCCTCTGTGTTCTTCAGGTCTGCCCTCTTGTATCAGACCAGTGAGGTACAAGTTTTTATTTATTTATTTATTTACAAAACATACACAAACATTTAAAATAGTTCAATTCTATGGAAGTCTTGTAAAAGGGAACTCCCCAGAAGCTACCTTAGCTTATAGAAGGGACCCCAGATATAAATCAGAACAAAACACATAATTACACAATTATTGATGATTTCATTTATATTTGTTTGGTCAGGATATAATTCATTACAGTCTGCACACATTATATTCAGTCTGATGCCCATAACTCAAAACGCATTCAGTCTGTAGAACTTCACAATCAAATCAAATGCTAAGTCAGTCGACAGAAGCTAACCTTTGATCTGACCTTTGACTTTCAGGTGAGACTGAACAGACCTCTGCTCTGGGGCCATGCTGGTTCTGACAGGTTGTACATGTCTGTCCTTGTTTCATCTAGTTTTTGTTTGAGAATGAGTTCTCCTTTGACCTCTTTCAGACACTGGCAACTTTTAGTGTATTTTAGCCTTGCACAAGGCCACGGTACAGTCATCCAACCCTAGTACATTTTATTGTTAATTTATTATTCATTGTTAAATTACAATCGACCCATTTACTTGGAGTTTTAAATATTAGTAATGTTTTTTTTGTGTTTTAGCATTGTTCTTTGTAAAGGTGCCTCATTCTGCTTTAATCCTTACAGTTAAAGTGTGATGATGGATGATGATGGAGAAGAGTGCAAAGTTCTGATGAGAGTGACATGAGTCTGAGGAGGCGATGGCGGAGAGTGAGATGAGTCTGAGTAGTTGATGATGGAGAGTGAGATGTTCTGAGGAGAGTGAGATGAGTGATTAGGTGATAATGGAGAGTGAGATATTCTGAGGAGAGTGAGATGAGTGAGGAGGTGATGATGGAGAGTGAGATGTTCTTAGGAAAGCGAGATGAGTCTGAAGAGGTGATGGGAAGAGGACGATGTTCAGAGGTGATGATGTAGGAGACTGAGAAATTTTGAACAAAGTGAGATGGGTCTGAAGAAGTGATGGAGGAGAGGTGATGTTCAGGTGAAATGATGCAGAAGAGTGACATGTTCTGAAGAAAGTGATGTTTGAGAGGGTGATGTTTTGAGGATGTGATGGAGGAAACTGAGATGTTCAGGTGAGGTGAGGTGTTGAAGGAGAATGAGATAGGTCTGGCAGTGATGGAGGAGAGGGCGATGTTCTGAGCAGAGTGAGATTTTCGGAGTGAGGTGAGGGATGAGAGTGTGAATTTATGAGAAGTATAGGATTCCTTGTCTCCATTTATGCTCATTGGGTAGTTGGATATTGAGATTTGTAAGCAAGGTCCATCATGAGTGCTTCTGGAAGTACCTAAAACATATAAAGCAAGTACTTAAAGATCCTATACCTGGACTTGTGTTTTGTTTCATTCACTTATGTTTGAGTAATACTTTATTACTAGTCTATTTCATCTCAAAACCTCACTATGCTCTTTTCCACCTTGTGATGTCATGAAACAGTAGTTATCAAGGTAATAGCTTCCTTTTACCTTTAGTTCAGTAGAGATTGGCAATTCCAGGGCTGAAATCATCCAAATGATTCTAGTGAAAGTGTACGCAGTTTAAAAATGATCACATGACATCACAAAGTTGGACAGTTTGAGAGAAGACCTCAACCTAAATATGCAGGATTTGTGTGTTAAACATGTGTGAATGAAACAAAACACAACTCCAGGTCTGTTTTTGATGAGGAAACAACATCATAACATAGATCGGAAAATAGCATAATATGGGCTCTCTAACGTTTCAACTCAATGACAGAATGAACCTTTACCAAAGTCTGATTGTATTTATTGACATAACCCTGTAGTTCAGTTCAAATTCCTTGTCAGTTGATGAGGCAGATTACTCATACAAGTGTTAGAATGAGACGACATCACCCACTACAATACAGCGACATGTTTACACCAGATCCCATTGTCTCTGGATGGGCGCGTGTGCAGTTGTGCGTCAGAGGCTTACCTGCACACATTATCAGAGGCACATCTTCATTATTGGATCCTCCCTTTCTGTAAATGGAGCCACAGTATTTCGCTTAAGTTCACAGATGAGAACAAATGCCCCGGGCTGCCTCATGGATGGAGTCTAATGTCATTAAAGAGTGTAAAAGTCCAGTAACTCAACCAACAGGCTTTTATTAGCTGAAGAGGTATTCACTTATTTACTGATGGACAACAGCAGCAAATACACCAGGTTTTTTACAATGGCGGTTATTTTATTAAATTTGCACTATGTAACTTTTTGGTTTGGGGTCTGTCACCTGCTTGTTTCTATGGACGTTTCATTGCTCTGCCTGGAATGTTCCCCAGTATGACATTAAACAGATCTACCTTACATTTATTCAATTACAAGTGGTTTTATAGTGGTGGTTTTATATTCAGTCCAAAACAACAAGACAAAACAAAATTTTGATTTAATTTTTAATAAATAAATTGTGCAGTTTAGTTCACAATTTTGGTTTCACAATTTATTTATGTATTTAATTTTACAGTATTTCTGTCATCGAAGCACTGCTTTTTGGAATTTCAGCTTCTAAGAGGAGAAACTCAACAAAGTTAACCCGTTTTTATTCAAGGCATCTGTAAAAATATAAGGGGAAAAACTCACTAGGTAATTTTCCTTATGTGTGCACAATCTTATGCCAATTTAGTTTCAGGAGATCTTGTCCCATCCCTGTTAAACAATATAATAATAAACATGAAAACAGGACACAAATACACAAAACAATATATAAAACCAGCCTGTTGTTTTGGGAGATTTTGGGAGATGCGGTCTAAAGATGAGTGGTGGCTGTTGTATTGAGCTGTTTAGTTTCAGTTTTGTCTTCTATTTTTTTAAGATTTATTTGAACATCAGATGGTAGAATGTATGGAGTGAGTTTGCTCGAGTTTTGGGAGTGACTGGACCTCAGCCAATCTGTTCTGTTTGTAATAGCCTGTGGTTTGGAGCATACTTTGACTATTTTTAGTTTTAAATGGAACTGATTAAAAGTGGGTTTTGTTCAGTTAGAAATTTATATTTGAGAGTATTTGAGTAGAATATTTGTAAGAATAAATCTAAGTGAAAATCAGGATTGATTAATATGCGGGGAAAAATTATATATATATATTTATATGTACACCAGTCCAAAGTTTGGACACACTATCATTAAATTTTTAATTTAGTATGATATATGGAATTATGTAGCAAAGGAAAAAAAGTTAAATAACAATTTACTAAATTAATATTTTATATTCAAATGCAAAAGTAGCCAGCCTGTGCTTTGTTAAAAATATTTATTTCACTACATAATTCCAGTTCTTACTTAATCTATTTTATTTCTTCAAATACAAAATGTAGAAAGCAGTAAAAATAAAGAAAAATAGTGTGTCCAATATTTTTTATTATTTTTTGTATCACTGACCAGCTACCTACCAACTACAGCTTTGGCTGCAAATGGAATATCTGGATAGTGCTCAAAAAACGAATCATTTGTACTTTGACCTGATTCTGACTTACATATCTTTTTTTTTTTTTGCTGCGCAACTGTTTAAAAATAAAAGTTCATTTATAAACTGTTATTTTTAAAGCTACATTTTACTGACTACAAAGGTTCATTTTGTATTAACAGTGTGCAGTAAAACCACAACTAGGACTTACTTATCAACTTATGATGTAAACATCAGTTGCATCACTTTTGCTTTTTTGTGTTCATAGGTTGTCGTCTGGCTGTGTCCCACCGGCCCATGCAGGGGGGGAGAGTGGCCCCATATTAACTTTTATATCCCCACTTCACCCTAACATTCCATAGCTCTGATACTCAAACACACACTCGTATACAGTGGATGCTTTTATTTGGTGTGCACCACAAAGGGTTAAGTGAAGTTTTTCCAGAACGCTAAGTCCTCCTCCCCTTCACCACTCCCCCCGGAATGGTCTGTCCCAGGACCACATGAGGCGCGTGTGTGTAGAGTGTGGAGACATATATATTGGGCCATGTGCAGTTGGACTTGGAGTTTTGGTCAGTTAGTGTAGCAGTTCTAGGCTAGGACACTCAGCCTGCTCCTCCTCTTCCTCCTCTTCCTCTCTGCAAAATCACAGGACTATAAGATCCCTGAGAATTTACTCCAGAGACGAGACCCAAAAACAGCCCAAAGATGACTGATCATTTGGACGATGGTTCCTTCATGTTCACATCTGAGTCTGTGGGAGAAGGGCATCCAGGTGAGGACAAAACTTTTGGAAATTTTTTTTGAGCTATTGTGAATATCTGCAATTTTTTTTCTGTTCTTTTCCATACAATGAGTAAAAAGTTGTCTTGAGTAGCTTTGGACAGATTTTTTGTAATACATATTTATTAACTGTTTTTATAGTAGGTCATTAAAGGGGTTGTCTATTTCAGTAGAGCAACTTTCCCATTCAGAGCAGACTATTACAGATTTTTTGAACTATTGTGAAGTATCTGCAATTTTTTCTGCTCTTTTCAATCCAATGAGCAAAAAGTTGTCTTGAGTAGATTTGAGTAGACTAATTACATTTTTTTCTAAAGCAGATAGTAGGCCATTAAAGGGGTTGTCTATTTCAGTAGGGCAACTATCCCATTCAGACTCACATGTGTTTACTGCCCCCACTCATTGACAGCAGCTGTACAGAGTGGGTGTAGAGTTTCACAGACAGCCCAGAGCGGCACTGGCTTTTTGTACTCGAGTAAAAGTACAGTTACATGGCTAATAATGTTGCAAGTACAAGTACTGCTGTTAAATTTGTAATTAAGTAAATGTTTAAAATCTGCATGAAAAATACTACTCAAAGTACTACTAGGGCGTAATGTAAAAGTACAGGTACATGGCTAATAATGTACTTAATTATAAGTAAGTACTGCTGTAACTAATTAAAAGTATGAAGCCTCCGTGAAAAAAATACTGCTCAAACTACAACTAAAGCTTAATAGTCACTTTTGTAAAAAACAAACAAACAAACAAAAAACAAAACAAAAAAATAGTAGCCTGGTATTTTGGTATTTTAGATGATTTTTTTAAGGCAAGTTACACATTTATATGCTAATTACATGGGTAGAATTATACTCCATTACAGATTCAAGTACTTAAAAACCTACTCATAAAAGTATAATTACCCAAATATTCTAGTCAGTTACAGTAATATGAGTTAGTGTTGTCATGATACTAAAATTTTAAACTCAATTTCGATATTGATTGATAATTCAGTACTGATCCCGATACCATGATGATTAAAAAAACAAACAAAACAAAAAAAACTCTATTTATTTAGAAAACAGAATGTGATTTTCAGCATTAAATGATAGTACTTTCTTGTATATTCCCATGTGTATACTACTCTATGTGCTCTTATACTTGTTCTGATACAGCTCGAAATCATCAAGTGATTTTTTGTATCGATACCTGCTTGTAGACAAGTAGACATTTTCAATACTTCAACACTAACATTTGTATTTGTAATAGTTATCTTTCATTTTTGGTTGCGTACAGTGTTTTGAAGTGTGTTAACTGACCATTTACCCTGGAACTAAAGGTAGATTGTGTATTGATTAAGGCTGTCTGAAAGGTTATCACATCAGCACGTGTTTGTGGTATTTATCAGTGTGTAATAGTGTGTTTATGACCTGTTGGATAACAAGGACACAATGTTGTCTATTATATACTAATAACAGCTAGATAAGAATGATGGCATATTATTATTTGAAGTAATAACACACAGAGATCAATAACACACAGAGATTATTACTATGTTGATTTATCGTTTAGTATGTGAAAGCTGGTACAATATTTTTTTCGGTATTTATCGTGTAGTTTTTCTTTGATAGTGTGAAATTTTGGGTAATTTTTTTTTTACTATACGATACGATTTAAAGGTGCACTGTGCAACTTTTGTGGTGGGGGGTCTGCCACCTGCTTGTCTCCATGAAGATGTTATTGCTTTGCCTGGAATGTTCCTGTTTTTTTACTTTAAACATAACCATCTATTAACCATTTATTCATCACGGATGCTTCTATTGCTCGAAAATACAATAAGTCTCTCTGTGAATAGGGTAACCTCTCCGCAGATCTGACCTGTAATGTGGCTTATAGTTGTCTTCCTTGAGATTGATAGGTTTCACTGAACAGACAGTTGCGTAATGTACCTTTAAGCGTCGTAAAAGGTTGAATAAAAACATCTATGATTCATTACACATGCAAACGAATGACTAAAGTATTTCATTCTGCTGTTTAACTATTGCAGCACATGATATTTTAACAATATTGTAAATTTAGAATTGTTTTTTTGGTTTAAATCTTCTTGAGTTTTTGTGTCAGTGCATAAATTATTTTCAATTTCAGCATTTATCATCTATATTTTCTTCAGCAATATATCAAACTTCTAAATTTGTTATTGTGACAGACCTAACTCTCCCCTTTTACCTCCTATGTTTTGTGCTATAAACAGATGTGGTTTCAAGATTAATTGATAATCAGGAAAAGCAACACAAACTAAAGTCAACAGCAAAATGACAGATATGAGACTCACTGTTATGTAAATGAGTGTAGGAGGCACAGTTTGATAAATCATCTGGATCTGATTGACTTGGAGGGAGTGGTCGGTTGTGTGTGAATGACGGGACCAGGGGCGGTGCTAGGGAGCGGCTTGGGTGGAGTCTGGTCCCCCCTAAAATGGCCAATGCATCCCCATAGACCCTTTTTCATCAGATATGCAATCGCAACTGAAAATGTTCAAATGGCAGCCTTAGAGTGTTGACAATTACTCACTACACAGTGCTAAATACATTTAAAGGGACCATATTGCACTATTTTTGATCTATGTTGTTTCATTTATCATCTATATTTTCTTCAGCAATATATCGTACTTCTAGATGTGTTATTGTGACAGGCCTAACTGTCCCCTTTCACCTATTTTGTAATGTGATGGTGGTGCCAAGATTAATCAATAATCAGGAAAAGCAACACGCAAACTAAAGTAAACAGCAAAGGTGACAGATATGAGACTCACTGTTATGTAAATGAATGTAGGAGGAACAGTTTGATAAATCATCTGGATCTGATTGACTGGCTTAGAGGGAGTGGACGGTTGTGTGTGAAAGAAGTGACTGGGGCGGTGTCAGGAAGAGGCTTGGGTGAACCCCCCCTAAAATGGCCAATGCACCACCTTAGAAGATTTTTCCCCCATTTTCATCAGACATGCAGTTGTGACTGAAAATGTTCAAATGTGCTGCAAGTGACTCACTAAGTACATTTAAAGGGCTCTTAACGGGCCCTTATTATCTATGTTATAATGTTGTTTCCTCATCCAAAACATACCAAGAGTTTTGTTGTATTTATTCACACATGTTTAACACACAGTCCCTGCATATTTAGGCTGAGTTCTTCTTTCAAAACACTCTGTTCCACCTTATGCGGTAATAGAGGAAGTGCTCCATTGTGTTTTCTTATACCTTCACTAGAATCATTTGGGTAATGTCAGCCCCGAATTTAATTTGCTTATTTCTACTATACAAAAGTTAACTTAGGGACTTTATTGGTTTAATGGGGAACTCATGTGGGATGTCACCAGCTACTTGAAATTGCAGCAGCTGCTGAAAGCAGCACATACTTACATCTACACATTATTGACCAGAAAGCTGTAAATTTACCATGTCTAAACTAAAAAATGCAAACAAATGACTAAGAACAGGAGATAATGATATTAAAACACACACAAGTGTAGCAAAAAGGTGATTTACTGTTTAATGCTTTTCACAAAAATATAACTTGAATAGTGTTTCTTAATAGTTGTTTCATAGAAACGCTTTTGAGTATTCCTGCATATTTCCCCTCCTTTCCAGATCTTAACATAATTAATGATAATAATTCAAGAAGTTCCATGTTTTTAAAATTCATAGATCTTACCTGTTGCCATTCTAATCAGTTTTGTAAGTTTTGTATTAAAATGTCAAATACCAATGTTAAGAGGTCCAAAAGTAGAAGTAGCAGTAGTAGTAAACTACATAATGCTTTGGGATCTCAGCTCTGATATAATGTTTTTTTGGTCTGTGTTTGTGTTTTTAGACAAAATCTGTGACCAGATCAGCGATGCAGTCCTGGACGCTCATCTGAAGCAGGACCCTGACGCTAAAGTGGCCTGTGGTGAGAAATAAAACACACACAACCTCTCTTTATATAAACACACAGAGACCAAGAGTACTAGTTTACTTTCTAATGCAATTTTATACAAAATCTGTCTAAAAAACTGTTTTTAAGATTGATTCAAGCTTAGTAACCACATAATAACTACCCTAAATCAATGCCTGTTATTCAGACATTTCACTACTCGCTTCACAGATTAGAGGTGAGAGTTAAATATGCCACTTACTTGGTTCAGATGCTGTAGAACTGCTGTAATGGAGCTTAACAGTATCTGCCTGCTCTGGTTCCGAAGTGCATTTTCCATAAATTTTTCCCATAGACATTTATACATTTTCAAATATAAACAGTTCAAAGGCATCGTGGAGCCTAACCAGCCATGTGCTTACTAATATCCATAATGCGATTTGTCCAAAAAGGTTGTTTAAAATGCAAGATTCTGCCAAATATTTTAATAAGTTTTTGCTTTATACAGTTTCAGAAACATATTTTAAATAAAATTATAGGTCTTGTGCTCATTAGTTACATAGCTGATTATCCCCAAACACGCTTTCCAATTTTTAATACTATTTGGCTCTGTGCCTGGCAACCTCACCGCAAGTGTAACTACTTCCTGTCCAATTTTAGCTCTATAGTTTTTGCTGAGTCATGCTAAAATGAATAAATATTTAAAGATAAGGCAGTGAACAGGGACCTGTGGGTAGATATAACAGACAACATGTTAAAAGGTACACAAATATAAGGAAAACTTCAGCGGGGGATATTTCTGTGTTTAGAAAGAGAGACAGTAATGCTAATTTTAAACAACCCCACGCACTGAAGTATTCTACATCTCAAAATAACTGGGTAGTCTTTAATTAATTTCAATTTTAAAGTATTTTTATTTTATATTTTATGATTTTGATAAGTGGCTGTTAGTTTTGAGACACAGTGAGCTAGAGAGAGACTTTTTTTCAGAAAGTATGACAAATATGAATGTAGTTCTAGAACCGAGGGTGTGCGTTCACTATTGAGCTCCATGTAACACTTGTACTTGTATCTGCAGAGACGGTGTGTAAGACGGGCATGGTGCTGCTCTGTGGAGAGATCACGTCGAGGGCGGTGGTCGACTATCAGAAGGTTGTGAGAGACACCATCAAACACATCGGCTACGACAACTCAGACAAAGGTATAGAGCACATTTAATAACAGACAGTGCTGTCCCAAAGTGCTTTACAAGATGGATAAATAAAACAATAAAACCAGCATAAGCTATTTTGAGCTTTGTACCATAGTAGTATATGTCCTTTTTAAAATGAAAAAATTTAACTATTTTCTGGTCTATGTTTGAATGTTGTTTCCTCATTAAAAACATACCTGGATATTTCCTCTAAGTTCTTTTCTTAATCAGAAAACACTCTGTTCCACCTTATGATGTCATGTGGCAAAACAGGATGTGTTACACTGTGCTTTTAAACTCCATACACCTTCACTAAAATCATATGGATAATTTCAGATCCAGAGTTGCCAGTCTCTATAGAACAAAAGGTGAAAGATAGCTGTTAACTTCAAAACTACTACTTGATGACATCACAAGGTGGAACAGAGCATTTTGAGCTTTGGAGCCTTACAAGGATTACTCAGACATGTATGACTGAAACAAAACACAATTGCAGGTTATATTTTCAGTGAGATAACAACATTATAACAGTTTAAAGCTCACAAAAGTCAATTTCGTGTACATTTCGACTAGAGTTATTGTCATTGGATTGCCAGCAGAGGGCGCCAAGCACTTATTTCTAGCTGTGCTCAGGTCCTGATGTGGAGAATATTTTCACACAAATATACACAATTTTTGTTACAAAACAAGAAATACAATTTAAAAGATGAAACCATAAAATGTCTATTTTAAATAAACACCAAATTTCTGTCAGTAAAATGTTTGTAATGGTGTGTGCAGGTTTTGACTACAAGACGTGTAATGTGCTGGTGGCTCTGGAGCAGCAGAGTCCAGACATCGCTCAGGGGGTCCACGTCGACAGAGAGGAGGAGGACATCGGGGCAGGAGACCAGGTTAGTGCATTATGAAACTTTAACATTTTTAACTCAAAGTACAGCTTTAGCAAAGACTCCCCTCAACAACAATAAGTAAATAATAATGTCCATAGACTGTTTATATAAATCGACACAGCTAACTTGCTAGTCGCCACGTTCCTAATAGGAAGTAAGCATGGGTGTGCTTCCAGCTCCATCGACTCTGGCTTTAATTCACTTAATACTGAAAAACTGTGATCCCTCTCTCCTTAACCGCTGCTGTCATGCTCCTCTCCAGGCAGGCGTTGCAGATTTGCAACAGCTAATTGCCAATTACCTACTTACTTCAAATCCATATTTTATTAGCCTTTTTTTACTCAGGAGCCTTTTCTCCCATCCATGCTGATAAATGTGGACGATGCAGATTGTGCAAGAATGGCTACACACAAACGGCCTGCCAGAAGTGCAAAATACTTTTTTTGTTTACAAAGGATAAAAATTGTTTCTCGGAGCACCACATGAAAAAGTGATGTTGTTCTGCCGGTGTAAAGCACTGTTATACTGTGCTTTATGTTTTTATTGTTATGAAAAGTGTTATACAAATAAAGTTAGTGTTCATATCATTTTCAGTCTTCAGTGTTAATTTACCACACCAGGCCAATGTTGCAAATCTGCAACATCCCAGAACGCATTGGACGTGAAGGTCTCGCTCAAAAAAAAGTCAGGATTGTATATTACTACCCCATATGATCATTTTCCCCAAATATCAGATTTTTCCTGTTACTAAAATTTTATTTGAGCCTGAGAGGGTTAAAATGTTCATATTACACGCGCTACATCAGGGGTGTTCCAACTGTCTCCTGGGAGCCAAATCTGTCCCTCAAACCATTCAGGCTTCCTTCTGAATTGGCCCAACTGAACATAGGCAGTACTTTTTACTTCAAATTCAAATATTTTTGTCACAGAAACCTCAATAGCATCAGTGCGTTGTGATACAGACTTCAAATGTGTGTTCCAAGACTTGTGGTGGCTCTGTCAAACTTATGTAAAATGCATCTATCTGAAAGTATCCTGCTACTCCACTATGAATATGTTTCAGTGAAAAAAGGTTGGACATCCCCGCTCTACATGATCCTGGTGTTTTTATCTCACTATTTTGTCTGTATATAAAGATGTGAATGATAGACAGCTCCCTCTAGTTGAACTTAACTAAACTCCTGATTGCTTGGGTTGAAGAAAAAATTGTGTTCAGATTAACACCACCATCACTGTCGCTACAATCACCAACCAAGCATGTGAATAAATACAGGCTACATAAATGTATTCTTATTAGTGTGTTTTTGTATTTTCATTGCTTTTGTTTTGTGTGCCCAGGGCCTCATGTTTGGATACGCCACAGATGAGACAGAGGAGTGCATGCCCCTCACCATTGTCCTCGCTCACAAACTCAACGAGAAAATGGCCGACCTCCGAAGGGACGGGGTCATCACGTGGCTCCGGCCAGACTCCAAAACACAGGTCTGAAAAGAGCCCAGAGACCACAGTGTTGTATAAACCATTTACATAGTTATCACATAGATGCTCCCATGTTCAGGTGACAGTGCATTACGAGCAGAAAGACGGAGCTGTCATCCCCAAAAGAGTCCACACCATCGTGATCTCTGTGCAGCACGATGACAACATCTCACTGGAGGAACAGCAGCAGGTGCTCAAGGAGAAGGTACAAACTCAAACACTGAACTGTAATTATATTTACAAAAGAGTGGCAGACCTGTTTGAATAACTTAAAACTTGTTCCTCAGGTCATCAAAGCTGTTGTTCCGGCTAAATATCTGGATGAGAAGACAGTCTACCACCTGCAGCCCAGTGGTCGCTTTGTGATCGGAGGACCTCAGGTGAGCCTCTGTGCCCATCTTAAAGATTTGTATTTTGTCAGGAGGATGAATTCTTGGGACTTGTGTCTGTGTGGAAGCCAAAACAAACATGATGACGCTGACAAATGTACCTCAGCCTATTATTTATTTATGTATTTATATATTTATTTCTTTTTGACCAGCCCTGCTTTGACAAACCAATCAAATATTTATTTGACTTAGTTCAGAATGATTTCAGTGAGAGCTGCCCCAGACCGGACTCTATTCAGAGGAGTACACATATCAATCTGGGGAGAGCCAGGTTTAAAGATTTGTACTTTTACTCACGTTTAAGCTTTTTTTTAACAAAGGGACCACTGCTGAAAATGATTTCAAATCAGCTAACCCAGGCACTTTTTACACTGTTTGATAATGATTCATGTGCAAAATCCCTTTTCAAATAAATGAAAGAAATCTGACCTGTAGTCCTTAATGTGTGTAATGTGTTTGTTGTTGTCAGGGTGATGCGGGAGTGACGGGCAGAAAGATCATCGTGGACACATATGGAGGCTGGGGTGCTCACGGAGGAGGAGCCTTCTCTGGAAAAGACTTCTCTAAAGTGGACCGCTCCGCCGCCTATGCTGCGCGCTGGGTCGCCAAGTCTCTGGTCAAAGCCGGACTGTGCCGGAGAGTCCTGGTGCAGGTGAGGATCTCTCCTTGAACCTGTTTAAACCTGTTTCCCCTCTATGTCCTTGTCTGCTCCTGTATGCCCCTCTTTACTCCTGTCTGCCCCTGTATCCATCTGTCTGAACCTGTCTGCTCCTGTCTGCTCTTATCTGTTCCTGTTGACTCCTGTAACATGCGCTGTTTCCACAGGTGTCATACGCCATTGGAGTGGCTCACCCTCTCTCCATCTCCATCTTCACATACGGCTCATCAAAGAAGACTGAGGCTGAGCTGCTGCACATTGTCAACAACAATTTTGACCTGAGGCCGGGGGTCATCGTCAGGTACACAAACACACATGCACTCACACACGCACACACGCACACATGCACGCACACACACACGTACACACACACACATATACACACATACAAACACACACCACTGCACTGAACAAAACACAACTGTTAAAAATACAAGGTTATGTACAGTGTCAGGTAAAAAATCCTCAGTCCAGTTGGAGAACATTTTGGCTCAGAGGCAGCAGCACCTTATAATTATTAGTTTTCATACTGAATGACAATTCTAGTTTCATCAACTGGAGTTACAGGATTGCCATGTAAAAAACAATACATGATACATCCACTAGGAGGAGCTAAATGCATACATAATTGTGGGAATGGCTTATGACGAGCCCATGGAAAAGGGAAAACTATTCATTTTATTATTTAATCAGAAACTGATGCTTGTGGCTGACTGTGTGTGGTGTTGGCAGGGAGCTGAACCTGAAGAGGCCCATCTACCAGAAGACAGCCTCCTACGGGCACTTTGGTCGGCCTGAGTTCAGCTGGGAAGTGCCCAAAAAACTGGTTTACTAATCCCACCCCTGCTCTACCCACGAGGGACAAGCTGTTGTGTGCCAGGGCGCAGACACGAGCTCCTCATGTGAAATAAAGAAATGTTCATGCAAATGTGGCAGTAGACAATGGACATAGAGACAGGACAGAAAAACTGATGATGCAGATAATACAACCAGCCACTAATTTGGGAGCAGAGTCAGTGTGTCACATTATTGAAATGCTGCTAAATCACCAAAGCTACTAAAGTCTTAGAGGTTTCACCACAGTCTTAATGTTTGTGTGACTGGACAGAAGAGCCTGCGCTTGGAGAGGGCAGAGGGCAGAGGCTCCTCTTACACTGTAATTTGCTCATGCATTTTCTCAGAATTTCTTTAAGAGACAAACACAAACGTGTCTTTGATCACTTTGACTGTTTCCTGGGACCTTTCTTTGTATTCATGTGTGAATGAACTTTTGATTGCAATTTAATTATTGTTGATTGTAGGTGCTCTGCATTTTAAGGACAATTTTTAGTTTTGCAGGGCTTATGTCATATTTATCAAAGTATTTTTTCACCAACACTATGGTGATGTTTCCTGATATTTCTGCTTTTGTGCCAAGACTCATGTTTGTATCAAATACACAAGTTTTCACATTTCCATGGGTCCAAAGAAGAGATCCAGTCTTTAGTGTATCTGTTCTGTGTCTGCGGAGCTCTGAGGGCAGGTTAGACCCCGAGCTTCTACAGTGTTATGAAAGAGCAGTCACTGTGACATCTGTGACTAGCTCCAGAGTTACTGTGAAAGTGACCTGTGTAAATAATTGTCAACAATAAAGAAAAGTGAAACTGAACTGGTGCAGGTGGTTTTTGATGAGTCACACATTCGGATTAGGGCCTCATATGAAGTACAGGCTGCTGGCAAACCTGGAATCCAGACTGGAAAAATTCTACACTAGGGCTGGGAATCACAAGGTCCCTCACAATACAATACAATATTATCACAATATGGCAATGCATGTAAAGATCGATATATTACATGATACTCTGTGATATAGTGCTGTATTAGAGCAACAATATTTCTTTGTTAAACCACTACTTGTGCAAAGTTAATAAGTACATCTATTTTACTCATGAAAACAGTGAATATGTCAAGGGCATTGCATAAACAAGTTTCCTTCTATAAATACACAACAGTAAGTAGTTAGGTGTACATTTTAGGTATCTGTACTTTACTTGAGTAAATTTTTAAGTGGATATTTTCTTATTTTTACTTCATTACATTTGAGAGCAAGTATCTGGACTTTCCACTCTTCCACATTTTTGAACAGGACTGAATAGTATTAGTATTTTTCATTATTGTCTGAGACCTGCTGAAAATACCAACAATTTATTTTTTATCATAATTTGAGCAAACAAAAATATACAAATAAAAACTGCTAGGAAAAAAAAATATGGATGCAACTGTTTCTACTAAGCAAAATTCATCCCAAATCTTTATCAAAATCAGTACATTTGAAGCTTCATTACATCTCAAAATATTTTAACTTTTTTATCACTGAGTAGAAAAAAATAAATAAATAAAAGATTTAAAAAAAGCTAAAACATAAATAAAAACATACTACAGTGGTTACTACTGGTAATTTCGATATTTATGCACACCTCTATTCTACACAGCATTGGAGAAGTAAAACTAACCAAGCTTACCAATGTCATATGTCATTATTTAAAAAAAGATTAAAGAAACGGTCTGTTTTAAACATGTATTTATTGAACATTAAGGCATATAGACATACAATCAAGTTTAATTATAGATTTCAAAGCTACCAGATCTTTGGTTATTTTTTTTTTTTTTATATATATAAAAGTAAGGCACATCGGAGAATTCGGACAGTATATTGGATAAAAAGTCTTCCTTTAATGATTGCAAGAATAAGGTAACTTTTTTATATATCTATTTAACTATGATTAAAACAGCAGAAGCAACAGCATTGTGGCTCCAACCACCACCCTCCACCCTCCACCCTGGAATGTTTACAAAAGTATCTTTGCATGATCACGATTAATAAAATTAATCTAATACGAGAACAGAGAGGCAGCAGCTATTCTTCTAACAAAACACAAATATACAAATCAAACAGATATGACTAAAAATAAGGTCCTTTCAGGGTAATGGTGAGTCTGTCCATTTTTGGATGGACTTGGGCTGGTGCTGGGAGACTTTCCTGAGTGCAAACTTGAGAGACAGGCAAATGGATATATTTAAAACAGCTTGTAAAACCAGTGTGGCAGTGACAGAGTGGGACGGCAGCATTCTTATACCATTAAAACACAATTTACAGGCCAAGAAGTTTTTTAGTTTCCAGTTCTGACCTCAGTTCTCTTTAAAGTCCTTCATTACGCAAAATTTACTCTCATGAGCTTTAAGACGTGTTGGAGTGGAGCTGCCTCAACAAAAACATACATCTCTACATCACCAAAGCTCAAAATGCTCTGTTCCACTTTGTGATGTCATGTAAAGGTAGTTTTCAAGTTAACAGCTACGTTTTATCTTTTGTTCAATAGAGATTTGCAATTCTAGGGCTGTAATCATCCAAATAATCCTAGTGAAGGTGTATGGATTGACACAGTGGAGCACTTCCTGTATTACCACATGACATCACAAGGTGGAACTGAGTGTTTTCTGTTTGACAGAAGACCTCATCCTAAATATGCAGGATTTTTTTTGTGAATGAAAACATAATAAAATACATCTCCAGGTATGTTTCTGATGAGGAAACATCATTATAAATCAGATCAGAAAATAGCGTAATATGGACTCTAAATACTTTAAGAAGAAAAGAGAAGACTAGAAATGGTCCAGACTATTTCTTGGAGTGAAAGCTTGTGTGAAAAATGTAACACTCAAAGGTTATCAGAGATCATTCAGATTAAAATGACTGTAACATCGTAGTAATACTGATAAATAAGAACTATTTACCATTTGGCATCAGAAACTATGACCTGTGAATGAGTCTTCTAATTGTAGCTCCAATAGACTGAGCCCAAACAGCTTAACCCAAACTGACAAAACATTAGAATAAGGTGTTAAAACCTCTCATTTAAATTAGTAGTTATTTAATAAAATTGTACTTTAAGCTTTACAAAAGTGTTTGCATTATAAAGCTTATATACTGATATGACAACGCTGATTCTTTCTCTAATTAAATCAAATTCAAGTGGTTCCAGGGAGAATACATTAAGGCCATTTGTGTGAAGGACCAAAGCTATAGACCGGCTGCTATAGAGCTGTAAAGTGAAGATGTCATGACTGGGTCAGCTGATTTCTATCTTTGTTTTTGTTCCTTATTTCATCAAACAAGAGACAGTTAGGCTACATCTCAAAAGCATATAAACTGTATCAAATATGTAAATTATGTAGTACTAATCTAGAATAGCATAGACTTCCCCTCCCTTGTGCACTTTCCGTCACGGTTACAACCAAAGATCCATGCTTATGACCTTGTCAGCTTTAAACAGCTGCTCTTTTTAATGTGAGAAGTGTTACAGCCAAAAAACAAAACAAAAAAAAGATGATGGATCTGGTGCTCCCCCTTGTGTATTCTTATGGGTAAACTGAATTATACATCTTGAGAAGTGCAATTTCATGTTAAAATTTCACAAATTGACAACTAAACACTTTTTATCTTATAGCTCATAATTATTATAAAAGGTGCACTGTGTAACCTGCTTGTTTCTATGTTTCTATAGATATGTCAATACTCTGCCTGGAATGTTCCACAGTATGACATTAAACAGCTCTACCTTACATTTACTCAGACGGGTTTATAGCTCAAAAATACCTGAATAAAACAATTCACAGATCTGACCTGTAACTTGGTCTGGTTTGGTCTCCAAGATGATAGAAAGGTTTAATGCCCTACTGTGAAATATTCCAGACAAAGTAATAACATCTCCATAGAGAAAAGTGTCTGACGGGCCCATTGCACCTTTAAAACATAGGCCTATTTTAATTTACATTGTAAGTCTTAAAAATGTCAGACTAAGGTAGCATTGCTGTTATGATCTGTTATTATAATGTCATGACAGCTTTATTTTAACAAATCAATACTTTACTTTTTAATTAGGCCAATAAAAAAAATTGTGTGTGTAGACTAGAAAATAGAAATATGAATAATTCTGTAGTCTTCATATCATCATAATCATAATGACACCAAACAGGAAGTGACATCACACTGAACAACTCTATTCAATTCTACTGGCCCCAGGTTCAACTGGTCACATGACTTTGGCACAAATTGGCAGCAAAGGTGAACAGGGTTAAACTGTGCACCTACTCAGCATATAGGTGCCCTGCGAAACATTTCTAGTGAAGGATCTGCCACCTGTTTGTCTCCATGGAAATGTTTTGTCTAGAATGTTCCACAGTATGAATTAAACCTATCATGAGAGAGGTTATAGCACTACACTACATTACAATTCAGATCTGTGGAGTCTCACCTATTCACAGAAGAAATTATTGTTGGAATTATTTATGTTATTAGGTTCTTTTTTCAGACCGAGAGTTTGTTTTCATACCTGTCAATTTGGACTGCTCACTAGTGTTCTTCCACAGAGATCACGTGATGTTGCTGTGACGTATCTGGTCAGCTGATTTATACAAGTCACAGCAACATCACGTGGAAGATTGCTAGTCAGCAGCCGAAACTCCCAGGTATGAAAAAAACAACAACAACCTAGTAACATAAATTATCATAAGACCAAATTAACCTCATTGGAGGAATTATTGTACTTTTGAGCAACAGAAACACCCATAACAAAAAAACCATAACAACATCTCTGTGGAGACAAGTAGGTAGCGGATACTCCATCAGAAAAGTTACAGAGTGCACCTTTAAATGTGACTGAACTTTATAGTAACTTAGCTTGACTAACTATTGTGAACAAAACAAAATTGGACTTGCATTCAACTATTTTGCAAACTCCAGCCACTCTTAAGGCTCACGTGATGCCCAACGCTGGAACCTCCACAGACCACCTAGAATCACAAACACGCAACTTCTCCAGGTTGTTTTGCTAATGTAAACCAACTGTTTCCATCCTCGTAAAATACAGAGTGTATGGTAATTGTCACAGTGATGCGTCAGCCAAGACAACATAAAGCTTGTGTTTGTATCCTTCATACTGTAGCTGTTTGAGAGGCACATTATTCTTTGTTAAACGTTGCAAATTGTTCAGCTTTTCAGGATTGTTGATACTTTGCAGCTGACGTTGTCAACATTCCCTGAGGGTGTCGTGCAACTGTAGGCACTGGTCTGTTTGTGGCTTTTTTAAACTTTAATCTGAGCTTTGTTTTAACACAATCTGACCAGAAAGAACTGACTTAGTTAGGTTTAGATGATTTGTGTTGTCAAACATGTCCCTCTCAAATAAAATACAGTTAGACGCTAGTTAGTTTTAGCCAACAGTTTTTCATTCAGTCACTCTCACCTTTTTGTTGAAATTCAAACTCCTAAACAGGACCGTGAACACTTGTATTGATCAGAGACTCCTGAAAATGTGTTGTAAATCAATTGTGTATTTTTTCCTTGAAACTTTTGTGGTGTAGGGTCCGTCAAATGCTTTTCTCCATGAGATGTTATTGCTTTGTCTAGAATGTTTCACAGTATGGTATTAAACCTTTACATCTTCACAGAGACCAATCCAGACAAAGTTACAGGTCAGATCTGTGGAGAGGCGACCCCGCTTACAGTCAGAATGCCTGTTTTTCTAGGTATTTTTGAGCTCTAAAACCACCTGTAACTGAATAAATGTAAGGTAGAGCTGTTTAATGTCATACTGTGAAACAATCTAAGTACAGCAATGACATTTCCATAAAAACAAATAAGTGATGGAACCCCAACCAAAAAGTTACATAGTGCACCTTGAATATTACAACTTTGGTTGTGTTCGGATTGTGTCTCCACAGTAACTGGTGAACATGCTGTCAATACGCACACAGTACATGAAGAACACCCCCAGAGGATGTCACTGCAAAGTATCAATTAATAATGTCTCGAAACACTGCAAAGTCTTGCTGTATGCCCCCAAGCTGGTACATTTATTGCGCCGATTGTGATTCTAACCAGATGACCTCGCTCCTCTGTTTCTGGGGTTAATACTGTCATAGCTCGGGCCGACCAGCAGCCCCCGCTTTCTTTCGGAGAATCCACACACTGCTTCATGATGCTCTGAAGTACAGCTGCTCTGGATTTGGCACGCGATTGGAGAAAGAAGTCGGCTGTTTTGGTTTTCAACTTGTGCAATGTGCAATAATGCGAACTGGCGATTCTAAGGCAGGTTCTCACAGGATGGACAGAGTTTCAGATGGGTGGGGCGGGTGCGGGTGAGGGTGGGGCAGGGTGAGAGGTGGCAGGGGTCCCAGGGAGTCCACCTTATGGGCCCCTGCTCCTCCGCCCCGGGCCAGCACCGCTACAGTGTCCCCAGACATACCGGCGAACTCAAAGGCAAAGGTCCCATAAAAGAGCATGACGGTGACGCAGAACACCCATTCAAAGATGGCTGACGCGTGCTGTAGGACGAAGCTCTCCTGAACAAAGAAGACGCCGCCTGGAAGTTTGGTTAAGGACTAAAACTTCAGAAAGCGTGCAGGCAAACATCAACATTCTGATTATTATTAATACAAGTTAATAACTGAACACAAGTTTGTACCTATGGTTGAAAATATAACACTTTGAGTTCTAGATTTAAAGGAGCGCTGCATATTTCAGTGTTTCTCAAATAGTGGTACATGTAAGTGTGGCCCTATGAAGTTTTAGTACTTGTTTAAACAAAAACAAGGACATAAACATAATTCTGAAATACCATATCCATGGTTTAGTCTCATTTTAGACCTGGTTTAGCTCTAAATTACGCCTTATAAAGTCCGGATTTAGATCTGGTGATACAACAAATCCAAATATTATCAAAAGTTAAAAGGTCCTATATTACACAAAATGAATTCTTGTGAGCCTTAATTTATGTTATAGTGCTGTTACCTCATCAAATACATACCCGGAGTTGTGTTTTGTTTCCTTTACACATGTTTGAATAATCCTGGGTTATTAGGCTGTTTACATCTCCAAAGCTCAAAATTCTCTGTTTCAACTTGTGATGTCATGAAGCTGTAGTTTTCAAGGTAACTGCTACCTTTTACCTTTTGTTCAGTAAAGATTGGCAATTCTAGGATTGAAATTATTCAAATAATTCTAGTGAAGGTGTATGGAGAAAAAAAAGAATTATGAATTTCCTGTACTACCACAAGACATCACAAAGTGGAACAGGATGTTTTCTGTTTGAGAAAAGAACTCCAGAATTTGTAGGATTTGTGTGTTAAATGTGTGAATGAAACAAAACACAACTCCAGATATGTTTAGGATGAGGAAACAACATTATAATATAGATCAGAAAACAGTGCAATTTGGATCCTTTGAAAGTTTGAGTACAACTAGCATAGTTCATTCATCTTCTACTAGTCCAGTACAAATAAGAAAAACTAATGATCTATGTTCCATTTTGTATCTATATAAACAATAGATTATAGAGCATAGAGTCAAAGAGTTAAACTGAGAAGAAGAAGAGAGTAATATATGTTGTTTTCATCATGCACTTCTCATTTTCAGTTTTGCAAGTTTAAGAGACAATTATTTTGCAACCAGATTATTGTGTTTAGTTCCACATTTTGCTACGTAAGTAAAAGCAAAAATGTTATGTGGTAGCTGATTGTATCTTGATCAGATGAAAAATATAGAGTCTAGAGCTAATGACTAAAATTGTTCATTTTTTAATCACTAGCATTGTTTTTGTACAATATGATTCACTTAGAAGAGAGTTTACTGCAGTAGTAGTTTTAATATTATAGTTTGTCTTAATCATGGTCATTTTTATAAAGCGCTTTTCCACCTTTAAGGCATTCAAAGCACTTTACATCAAGGAACCACTCACCCATTCACACACACAATCATACACCAGTGTACGCAGACACTGGGGGTGAGGTGGGTTAAGTGTCTTGCCCAAGAACACAATGGCAGTATTCATCTGTGGGAGCTGGAATCGCACCAGTGGATGTGACTGATTCGAACTGCCAACCTTCAGATCAACTACCAACTGAGCTACGCCTATAGTTACAGGCCTAATGTGAATACGATGTTAAGTTTAAGCTTCAAATGTCAAAGAAATGGACTAAGGGAGTGTGATGTCACCATATACTGTATACAGTATATAAATGGACATAGCCAACGTGCTGGCCATCGCATTCCAAATAGGAAGTTTGCATGCGTGCTCTTCCAGTTCCTACTGACCTTGGCTCCCACAAACTTACATTGGAATATTTGTGACCCCTCTCTCTGTAACTGCTGCAGTGAGCCTCTAGTGACTAGGTCAGGAATCGGAATACACTAGATGGTTTGCAAGAACCCCAGAAGTGCGAGCCCAGCCATGCTGGCACCAATTCCCGAGATCGAGGATTTAAAGCCGGAACAAAGAGAATGTTTGGCAAATTTTATCAAGGGGAAAGATATTATTGCCCTTCTTCCTAATCCTAATGCTGTGAGGTCAGACGGTTTCCACGAAGTGAAACTGGCTGATGTATCAGGCTAGTGAGCCTCGTCATTTTGGTCTTAAAATGTTCATATTAATCCTGGTATTATTATTTCGCTATTTTCTCTGTCAAAAAAATCCTATTCATAATATACAGCCTAGTTCCAAATTCGCCCCTGTAACCACTAGCATCGTGCGTTTCATTTGAGTGGAACCAAACACTATGGGTGACATCACACTCGCTTTAGTACACTTCTTTATACAGTCTATGGACATCACCCATAGCGTTTGGCTCTAGTCAAATAAAGCCTAGTTAGGCTGCAGTAGAAGCGAATTTAAAGCCGTGTTTCCTATTTGGAACAGGAACTTATTCATGGACAAAATAGCAAAATAAAAAATACCAGAATCATGTAGAACGGGTTAATACAAACATTTTAAGACCAAAATGACGGGGCTCACTGCAACACTTACAGAGAGAGGTGACCATTTTTCAGTGTTACGTCAACTGATACCAGAGTTGACGGAGCCGGAAGTGCGTACAAGCTCACTTTTTATTTGGCAGCTAGCGGGGTAGCCAAGTCCATTTATATATACAGTCTATGGTGCTTGATAAGGTAACATAATACATGGCCCTAATGGAAATACAACTGTATAACAGCTCATCTTTATGTAACAGACAATACTCCCTACAACGGTACAACAACTCACCTTTATGTAACAGATAACTATGTCCTGTCAATCATCATATCATCTTTGCACTGTTTTCTTTATGACCGTTGTATATAGCTGAGAGATATTTGTATTTCTATATTTAATTTTTACTTGTACATTTAAATAATTAAGTCTTATTTGACACCAGTCTTTTGGTATTTTTGCTGCTTATTTAGAATTGAGTATTACCATTTAAGTTTTTTTTCTTTATTATAATATATTGTGATGTGTGAGCTACTGTGTCCAAATAATTTCCCTTGTGGCTCAATAAAGTCTAAGTGTAATATAAGTTTAATATAATGTGAAGTCATGTGACTACAGTGTGTCAGTCTGGAGGATACTGAGCACCAGGGCAACGAAGGCCAGCAGGGTCATGGCGGCTCTGAGGTGTCCCACGCAGTACTCGGCGTGGGTTTTGGCAAGACGGTACGTGAGCGCAGACTGCAGACTCACAAACAGCATACTGGTGGGGAACGCCACGCCAGCGCCAACGTAGTGCAGGACTTTAGCGTTGTCCACCTGAACACAGATGAGAAAGCACAGAACAAATTAGAACTACTATCTGAAGACCTGGGACAGTTGTTTCATCCTCTGTTGTCTTTTATCATTTTGTTTTATTGCTTTAATTTATTTATTCTTATGGGTCAATTTTAACAACAAAGATAATCGCCACTGTATCACCAGAATATTTTAAAAAAAGCTACTTATCCATAAAGATTGCCTCTAGAGCTTTTATTCATAACAAAGTACAATACTATAACACTTGTTTAAATATGGAGCCTATTCATAACTGCATTAGCATTAAAAGTGCACTATGTAACCTTCTGGTTGGGGGTCAGTCACCTGTTTGTTTCTTTGGATATGATTGGATTCCAGGCTCTTTGCTTTGGTCCCGATGATAAAAAGGTGTTAATGCCATACTGTGACACATTCCAGACAAATCACTAACATCCTTGGAGAAAAGTATGTGATGGACCCTCCATCAGAAAAGTTACACAATGTACCTTTAAAATGATGATTACTCGTGTCCATAACAGTTTGGCAAACTTTACTAATTATCGTAATACAATGGTTAAGATGAATAAAGAATTTTTAAAATCCAATCCACATCTTTCTCTCTGAAATATATAAACAAATAATCATTAAATATTGTCATGGACAATATTTTGTTTTTAACATATTTATATGAATAATTCACATAAAAATATGAGCTCAGTTTCAGTTTCAGGAGTTTAATTGCCCATCAGTTCTTTTTAAAACATGCATTATTACTCAGAAAAGGGGAGGGGTGACAATAGAACTAACCACAAGAATGATACAAAATACAATAGACGAAGAGTCTCACTGTGCACACACACACACAAGCTTAGACAGGACATAACAGAGCTCACAGGAGGGCAGAGAAGACTTCCTCTGCTTGTGTTGCATATAAACACTGTCACTAACTCAGAACTAGAGTTACAAATGATGTATAGTAGTTGGAAACAGTGGGCATTCCTGTGCAGGATATACAAAGTTGATCTGGGTGACTTTTTATATTGTCTCGATTTCAGTACTAAGGAATAGACTCAATTCTCAAAACTGATTCCGAAACGACAATGATAATTGAAAAAACTATTTCTTTAGACAATAGAAAGTTATTTTCAACATTAAATCATAGTACTTTCTTTAATATTACCATGTGGTCTTATATCTGTGTAATCCCTCAGTGGTCCTGGTAGGTTCCAATGTGGTCCATGGGTGTACACTAGTCTGTGTGCTCTTATACTTGTTCTGATACAGCTCAAGATCATTCTAAAGCTATTCAGGAAAGGTTGATTTCTGACCTGTGAATGTGACTTTTTTAGTATTGATACCTGCTCAAATGAGTTTCTAGTTTCAATACTGGTTTCAATTTCAGCAGACAACATGACATCACAAGGTGAAAGTGTTTTATATTTGAGAAAAGGTCTGAACATAAATATGCAGGGTTTGTGTGTTAAATGTGTGAATGAAACAAAACACACCTGCAGGTCTGTTTGTGATGAGGAAACATTATAACATAACAGAAAATAGCATAATATGGGCCCTTTAAACTTTATCTGGTGACATGTGAGCAATAGTGGAAGAAGTAAATTTTGTTACTTAAGTAAAAGTACATATAGTGGAGCAAGAAAATTGTTAAAAAAAAAAAAAAAAGAAAAAAGAAAAATACTTTTACTTCGATTTCCAAGTCGATTTAAGTACCAATGCAAAAATTGACTTAAAAAGTAAACAGTAAAAGTATTTTGCAAAGATTCTGAGATCTAATGAAGCGTAAAATGTAGTGATTTTAATAAATATTTGTGCTGAATTTTGTTTGTTTTGTAATTTTCTGGCTGTTTTTATTTATATATTTTTGTATACTCAAACCTCAGCCTTTTCAGCAGGTCTCAGATAATAATAAAAATACTTTTACTTTTCAGTTCAGTCCAAAAATGCAGTGGAGTATAAAGTACAGATACCTGCTCTCAAATGCAGTGAAGCAAAAGTATCCACTCTAAACTGACTTAAGTCAAAATTAAGGTATCTGTATTTTACTTAAGTAAGGTACTTTAATAGTTGTAGTAGTAGTAGTTTTAGCATTGTTTGTGAGTAGTACAGTAGTACAGTAGTAGTAGTAGTAGTAGTAGTAGTAGTACAGTAGTAGTAGTAGTAGTTTTAGTATTGTTCAAAAATGTAGTGGAATAGAAGTACAGATACCTGCTTTCAAATGTAGTGAAGCAAAAGTAAAAAATATCCACTTTAAAATGTACTTAAGTAAGATACTTCCATTTTTACTTAAGTACAGTACTTTACTACTTTTACTTTGCTGCATTTCACCACTGCATGAGGGCAGTATAGTATAGTACATTACAGTATAGTATAGGAGAACTTCATTACATTTATCTGTGCATATTCATGACTTGAAAACACAATCACCAGAAGTGCCTTTAGCTCCATGACTCTGCAGTTTCCAGAGGGTCCCTGCGCTCTGGACTTGACCCTTGTCTGGATTCTGCTGACACGACTTGTAACTTTGAAGATTCAGCAAAATGTACGTCATAAATTCATTCCTATAGACTGATGGTGAATACATGAATTTCAATGATGAGCGCACAATAGCATGCTAACAGACTGCGTGTAGCTCTGTGTAACAAAAGGCAGAGGTGGGGGAGTGACAGAAAAATGTGGAAGAGGTGAACATAAGTGTCCCCTTTGGTTAAAGTTAAAATTAGGGATGTAACAATAACAGACATACAAGTCTTTTTGCTTAAATTAATAGTTATGGTGATTTTGAAAGGAAAAAGTAGCATATTCACAATTTTGTAAGCCTCCACAAAATATCGCAAAAAAAAAAAAAAATTAATAAAAAAATAAAATAAAAAATCAATGACATGGAGACTGTGACAGTATCATGAACACCACTACTACTACTGATACTTTGCAAGTTTGCAGTGACATCAGGTGCCCGTAGGTATGTCTATGAAGAATGAATGAATGTTCAGCAGTTTTCATGGTGGCACAACCCACACATTAGCAAACAACCCAAAAAGTTTAAGATCAACCCAAGATATCCCCTGCAAAAAATAAAAATACTTGGGAAAGCATCAGAAAAATGTGGAAAAGGTGAATGTAAGTAATGTCTCCTTTGGTTCATGGTAAAATACCACCTGAACGTGAACACAGCCTATTAATACTTTGCTGAATGTTCCATCCTAGACATACATGCGGACACTTGACGTCACTGCAGTTTCCATGGTGACATAACTCACACATTAACAAACAGCCAAAAAAAAAAGTTTAAGATCAACTCAAGATAACCCTCCCAAAAATGCTAAATGGATTTAATGGACGTGCGTACAAAAACCATCCTAACAGACTGCAGGGGTGTAGCTGTGGTTAATAAAAGGCAGAGGTGGGGGAGCTTCAGCGTGATAGAACAAGTCCCAACTGTCACTGGATTTGTCACTTTCACTTCTAATAAATGTCAGTTTACAAGAGAAATGAAACACAACATGGAGCGGTTACTCGTATTTCTCAGGGCTATCAGTATGTCAGTATAGCGCCCTTGGATTAAATTAATTTAAAGGGTGAATAAAGGTGCCATTTTAAAATAATATACAGGACTTGCGTACTGATCAAAATGCAATTAGTGTAAGCTGTATAATATAGGAATGAAGAAAGATACTAAATATACTAAAAATACTAAAACTAGATGTATTTTCAAGAACTGAGATGGGAGAAAAAAAGTCAAATCAACAGGGAAAAATTTCACTCCAAACTTTCTCAAATTATTCAGAACTAGTATAAGATCACATATCACATACAGTATCCATAGTATGCAAATTTATGAATCAAAATAGACTTGCGTGTTTTTCATTATGGATGCGTTTACAGCACTAAAAGTATGATTTTAACCGTCTATTTCCACAACTGACTTTCCAGCTACGGAAAGTTAAACACTTACTAGTACACTACACTACACATACTAGTAGTAGTAGTTGTAGCATTGTTTGTGAGTAGTACAGTAATCCAATACCATAAAAGAGAAGAAAAACGTGCTGAACACTGGGAATTCCCTGTAACATGCCCCATCACACAGTTAACCATTTCAGAGTTGTTTCACTTTCTCATAGATTATATTTAGTCTGAGCACGCTTCTGCCAGAGCTGGGAATCACACTGTCCCTCACAATTCGATACGATTCACGATACAATATTGCAATAATTGATATACTGCACATGATATGCCGTTTTTTAATAACCAAATACATTTTAGCAACAATATTTCTTTGTTAAATCACTACTTGTGCAAAATTAATATGAAATACATCAATTTTAAAGGTGCATTGAGTAACTAATTTGTTGGAGGGTGGAGGAGATGTTATTGCTTTATCTGGAATGTTTCACAGTATCATATTAAACCTTTCTATCTTCATGAAGCCCAAACCAGACCAAGTTGCAAGTCAGATCTGTGGAGAGGTGACTCCAGGTATTTCTAGGTATTTTTGAGCACTTATAATTTAATAAACAGCTCTACCTTACATTTAATGTCATACTGTGGAACATTCCAGGCAGAGCAATGACATATCCATAGAAACAAGCAGGTGACAGAAGCGCAACCATAAAATTACACAGTGCACCTTTAACAGATCAAAACAGTGACCAAAATTGTACTTCAGTCCCAAAAAAACTCACTAAAAGACACCAAAAAATGCTCTTGGTGATATATTGTGAGTCAGTGTCACTGCAAAGTATCAATACCCAGATAGACAAACCAAACATCACTTAAACGGCTCTTGATTTTCTTATGGGTGTACTAAGTAATGTTTAAATATTTTTGCACAGCCCAAAAAAGTTTCTGCCTTACTCATCAGTAGAGCCCGACCGATATGGATTTTGCTGTGGCTGATATGAAACCGATATAATGGAAGTTGGAGCTGCCGATATAATCGCAGATATATTTAGTGATGTAAAAATTCACTGTAAATGTTGAATTGTTTAAAAAACTTAGGTTTG